TTGTCTGATAAATATAAACCTCAACTAATGATAGTACCTTTTTTAAAGGACAAGTTTCTGACCTTTTCAGAAATGGAAATTTTCTCTGTTTGATAAAATAGTATATAATGTTAAACTGGCTTTCATAAATTAGTTAAGAAACTTGGGATTGCTGCTACAAAATTTAAAGCGAGAAGTTCACTTTAAATTTTAAAGGAACCAATTTCCTTTAAATACCTGACAACTTTTGCAGTGATATCAATAGTGGTTTATTAAAATGTGGTAGAACTGTCTTGTTGCTTGTTTATAGGCATAGCAGCTCAGAGATAATAGTGTTTAATATTGTCAAGTAGGTGATGTATTTTAACTCTAACAGATTTTTCATTTGTGAAATTGGTTTTTCATTTACTCTTTATATAGTTAAGTACTCTTAATAAAGGTGGGGAAATAAGTCACTTAACTGATTCATTTATGTTTTTTATTATGCTATGAAAAGATGATGGGTCAGCTACTGCTTAGTAGGGAACTACTTCAGAAAATTTAATTTTTGTTCTTAGAAGATCTCCAGACCGTAAAATAAGATACAACCAAAACATGGACATACTGCAACATGTGAATAGATATCCTACTTAGAGAGTATAGAAGAGTAATTTTAGAGTAGCATTGGACCCTAGAGAACACAGGCAATTTTTAGGTCCTGAAGATGAGGCAATTTAGTGGGAAAGATAATCACATAGCTGGTCAATAACAGATTATCTTTTAGTCTAGCAAACTTTTCACCATTTGTTTCTGTGCCTAAAAATGAATAGAGTTGAATTGATGGGATGGGAATATGTTTCAAAAAACTTGTTTAACTTTCTCATTGGTAAAAAGTTAACTTCCAAGAACACTTATCATTGAAAGCATATTATATCCCTATACTTATGAGAACTTTAGAAAGAATTCTCTTATTGACAGCATATCTCGTCTTTGGAATAGCATTTCTTCAAGATAGGGAGTAGTCAGTTTCTTGCTATGTGATTGTCTTTTGTGCTTATTTTTAAAGGAAGTGAAAGTATTTGGGGAGTGGTTATTTATTACTTCGATATTTATTTTTAAAGGTATGAGCAGCTTGTAACTTTGTTTTTTAATTATCCTGTTAAATACAGGTTATAGACTATTACTAACAGTCAATCTGTATTTATGTAAAAGTGATGTTCAAATAATATCTCAGATAACTAATTAAACACATTTTATATTTAACTAAATTAAACCTTTCTGTAGATGCAGAAATTATTATTTAGTTGAAATCATAGGACATACAGACAATTTATGTGAAAGCTTCTTTGGAGGTTCTGGATAGGGAATCTGCCTTCTCTTGAAGAAATCTTTCTGAATGTGAAATATTCAGTGTCTCAAATTAAGAGCTTCACTTTGGAAATTTTGTAAATGGAAAAGGAAGGAAGGCAGAATCAAGCAAAGTCATCCTTACATCTATCTAATTGTGGAGCAGATAAACATGTTATTGTCTTACTGGTTGATTTATGGCCCTGCAAGTCATGATGATATGCCATCCTGTCAATTGCTTAGTTTCTCAGTTTGTAATCTGGGAAATCTTTTCATAATCTTTTGGGTAAAAGTCCTTGCAGAAAGCATGCCCTACCCATAGCAGGAGTCCCAAGGATTTAGTGCCCACTCCTTCTCTGCTTAACGTAACTCTAGTTTTCTACTTTTTCTATCTCTTTGTTTTCTCTCCTCCAAAACAGGGCTTTTTTTTTTTTTTAATACTCTTTGTTTGTCAATAGCTATACTTTGAAACATCTTACAAATTGATGTTTCAAACATCTTCATCTTACAAACATCTTCAGAGGTGATGGAGAGGAAGGCAGCAAATCACACTGCCATGTGTGTACCTATGCAACAATCTTGTATGTTGTTCATATGTACCCCAAAACCTAAAATGCAATTAAAAAAAAAAAGATTTCTCTTAACCAAAAAAAAAAAAAGAAAAAAAAAAGAAGGTTTAAAATTACATTACAGGAAAGCAAACCATGCCCTATGCAAAAGTCCCGGACCCTTGTACATTTCCTTAAAAAAGGAAGTCTTCTTGTTCATGGACAACCTATGCTTTATCTTTCTCCTTGGTTACCTATCTGGATTCCCACTACAGGTGGTTGCCATTGGCTAATACAGTGTTGTATTTTCCCTTGCCTATTTCTCTGACTTCTGTTTCCCATATTGCCTTTTTAAAGAGATTTAAACTCGACACAGAATCTTGGTGATACTCTTTTTTTAAGATTCTTTCCAGTGTATAGTACTTCATTTCTTGAAGGAAGTCTGGCAGCTGTAGCTCTCATTTTGAAATTATAGAATGATCCCAAATAGCAGAAGGTCAGGAAAATGAGTTGAAGTTAGAAACATTTGAGGAGGTTACTTTAGAACGGTTGATATGGGAGTGAAGTTGGATTATGGACTAAATTTGGAAGATTTCTCTAGATTCCAAAGCAAGCAATGTGAAGAATTTAAATTTGCATCTCATTCCTACTTCATTTTGTGGTGCAAGGAAAGCTTGGTCCCCAATACTACTTGTATGATAACAGTAGTAATAATTAATGCTTATTTAGAATTTAGTATGCACTAGACTCTGCTACTTGTTGTGCATACATTATCTCATCTAATTCTTACAACGGTGCTATCCATTAGGTACTATCATTATTTTCAATTTACAGAAGAGGCCCAGATTCATAGAGTGAACCTGTCATTCGTTCAACATCCCATAGCTAGAAAGTGACCTAGTTCAGGGCCACCTGACTCAAAGCCCATGTTCTTAACCATGAGTCACCCTGCTTCCCCTCCAAATGGCTAACAAACTGATGACATGACAAGAAATACAAGTAAAGATAAACTATATTGAGGTATTATATAAGGAAATCTTTAGTTAAAAGAAGAGAAGGAAGAGAAGAAAGTGATGGAGAGAGATTACAAGGGAGAAGCCTGTAGATTTCTATTTGTAAGTAGCAAAATTTTATTTTCAAAGAGGCATTGAATTATATAGTTATTAGAATAAAAATTTATAGATGCATTTGTTTTTATTTATGTAAAGAAAAATTTGTTTGTTCAACATATTTGATGTTTGTAATCTATCATGTAAACACCTCACTAACAGACTTATCAAAACGATTGCTATAAAAAGATACTAATTGGATTTTTTAAAGTTTTTGTGTTTATTACAGTTAAGATGATCTGTGTCATGCTTTACCAATTTAATTTTCCAACAAATATTTATTGAGTGCCTACTGTTAGCCAAGCAAGCACTATGTCAAGTGTTAGAGATTGATCTAAAGACAAATAAAACAAAATTCCTGCCTTAGTGATCATGCCACCTAATATGTGAAATAATCAAGTAAAGAAATAATTTTGAGGAGAAGTAAGCACAGGGTGCTGTGCCAACAGAGGGACTAACTGATGAGATCATGCATGGATTTCTGGAAGAGGAGGCCTTTAAAACACCCTGAATGATGAATAGGAGTTACCTATCATGACTTGTACGATTTCTATTGGTTGATTAATAATAAGTACCTCATTAGACATACTACGAGGAGATTTAAAAAAAATTCAAATGCTTACATCTTCTTCTAAAGGTTTTGATTATTCGGTTTGTAGGGAGGCTAAACATGAGTATTTTTTAAAAGTAGTCCTGTTATACTAATGTTCTACCATGGTTTGGAACCATTCAGATATTATCTCAGATGTTGGTCCTAAAATGGTGCTTGCTGACAAGAACATTTCTTGATGTTGCTATAGAGAAGTAATTACTGAGGAAGAGATTATTTAAAATAAATAATTAATTCATAATGAAAAATCATTTGTTTCAAAATATAAAAGCACATCTTTCTACATAAAGATTAAATAACTTTCCTAGGGAACACTAATCATTCTAGACAACTAAAGAAAGTATTAAGATGTCTTTCATATCTCACTTAAAAGCTGAGTGTACAAAATCTTTCCTATGAAACTAATATTAAGCCATGCATAGAAATTTTTTTTTCTTTTGACAAGAGTACTTCTCTGTCGCCCAGGCTGGAGTACAGTGGCTCAATCTCAGCTCACTGCAACCTCTGCCTCTCAAGTTCAAGTGATTCTCATGCCTCAGCCTCTCTCAAGTAGCTGGTAGTACAGGCACACACCACCATGCCTGGCTAATTTTTGTAGTTTTGGAAGAGATGGGGTTTCACCATTTTGGCCAGGCTGGTCTCGAACTCCTGGACTCAAGTGATCCACCCACTTTGGCCTTCAGAATTGCTGGGATTACAGGCCTGGACCACATGCCTGGCCTACATAGAAGTAGTAATACGAATATAACCTTTACACAGTAGAACATTTGATCATGAACAGATACATAGCCAAATCTGAAAGATTACAAGTTTTTCATGAGTTCTTAACTAGAAGAGAGCAAACCAATAACAGTTAAAGGAGAGCTTTCTATAGATGAGAATGGTTGGGTGGGCAGTTATGCATTATTAGTGAATATAGGATACTAATTGATTTTATTTATTTATAAAGTAATCCATACATTGTATTCCTTTTTGAAGTATCCTTCCTTATGAAGAGGAGAAAAGAATTGTGGTAGTGGCTTTTTTTCCTGCTTTTCTAAGTAGAGAACGTTTAGAATTCAATTGGCGACATTTATTAATGCTTAACTAGAAGCGCAGGAAGTGTTTAAATGACTGTATTAGATAATAGGATGTTAAATGGCAAGATGTTTCTAATGTCTAGTCCCTTTCATTTAGTTTGATTTTATTGTTGACAAATCCATGATCCAGACTCATTAAGTAAATTTCCCAAAGTAAAACCACTAGTTAAAAATAGAATAGGACTAGATTTGAGGATTTTTGACACCTAGATTGGTGGTGCCCTTTCCATTATAGTTCACTATAGTACCTTTGTTTTTCAGAATTTTATTGTTCTTGCCTTTTTAAGTCTAGTTTTCTTTTACTTTTTAAAATTTTGTATCGCAATTTGTCTCCTGTAGGTCAAGTAACCTGGTTTGGTTATGAAAGTCCTCGCAGCTTCTGGGACTATATCAGAGTGGCTTGCCGGAAAGTTTCACAGAATTGTATCTGCAGCATTGAAAATATGGAAAATGTCAGTTCTTCTAGAGCTAAGGTAAGACATGGTCAGAGGCTTGTTTTCATTTTTTTCTTCTAGGCATGTATTTGGAATAGCAGGAAGGTGTGAAGCTACTTACTATTAATTTCCTTTTCTTAAGAAGCATAAAATGCTTCCTGTTCGGTGATGTTTCTACATTTCTTGAATTATCTAAATTAGTGGCTCTCAAATAATGTTCTGCAGAACACTGAAGATGTCCAAGACCCTTTCTTTAATGGATCCATAATGTCAAAAGTATTTTTGTATAATATCAACATGTTATTTGCCTTTTCACTGTGTTCACATTTGCATTGCCAGTACAGACACAATGGGGGATAAAACTATTGGAACCTTAGCATTAATTAATGCAGTGACATGAAACCATGCAAGCAGTCTTGAATTCTTCCTAGTATTTTCTTTTAAAGGTAGCTTCAATTTAAGAATGACCATGATGATCTAGGAAACATTAATTCTTATTAAATCTTAACCTTTGAGGACTTGTATTTTTAATATCCTGAGTAATAAAAAGGAAAGTATGCATAAAGCATTTCTGCAACATACTGAAATATGATGGTTACTTCAAGAAAAGCACTTGTAAAATTGTTTGAATTATGAGCTGAACTAGGTACTTTTTATGTAATATGATTTTATTGGAAAGAAAAACTTATAAACCATAATTTTGTGGACTTACGCATTTGGCAGATCTTTTCTCAAAAAAAGAAAGAAAGAAAGAGGTGAGCCTATTACTTCAAGGAAACAGCTGAAAGTATTTGTTGCCAATGGTAAAATTAAAGCTTTTAAGTAAGAACTAGAGTTTTGGAAAAGCTGTATTCACCATCTTAAACTTTATAGCTTCCAAATATATGAAAGCATTTTTGATAACATTGATGCTGATATCAACAAATGTGTTTTTAAATTGTTGAAAGAAATGTGTCAACATTTGATAGGCCTTCATAATTCGTATTTTCCAAATGACCAATTTATGGAATTACAGAATAATGTATGGGTAAAAAGATCAATTCAAAGTACAAGGTATGTCAATAGGTTTAATGTATTACAGCATGAAAAAATTAATATGGTTACTAAAATTTATTACTTAGTGAGTTTGGATCTAGAACAAAAGATAATATCTACACTTATCTGAAAAGACTATTAAAAGATTCCCTTTTCCAACAATATATCTGTGTGAAGCTAGATTTTCTTCAAATACTTCAACCAAAACAATACATTGTAATAGAATGAATGCAGAAGCAGATATCTAATTATCTTGTATTAAGCGAGGCACTAAAGAGATTAGGAAAAAAAATGTAAAACAGAGATACTTTTCTTACTAATATTTTTGTTTAGGAAAATAGTTACTTTTCATAAAAATGTGTTATTTATGTTAACATGTAATGGGTTTATTGCTATATATATATATATATATATATATGTATATATATTTTTTTTTTTTAGAGCCAGAGTCTTTCTCTGTTGCCCAGGTTGGAGTGTGGAACTAGCATAGCTCACTGCAGCCTAGAACTCCTAGGCTCAAGTGATTCTTCAGCCTCAGCCTCCTGAGTAGCTGGGACTACAGGTGCATTCCACCATGCCTGGCAAATTTTTAAAGTTTTTCATAGAGATAGTGTCTCTCTTTGTTGCCCAGGCTGGTCTAGAGCTCCTGGCTTCAAGCAGTCTTTCTGCTGCAGCCTCCCAAAGTGCTGGATTACAGGTGTGAGTCACCATAACCAACTTGTTATTTTTTTAATTACCTGATATTTTAGTTTCCAGTTTTGACTTGTGATACAGTCAATTTGATAGATATAACCTACATAAAACTTCTATGGGGGTCCTCAGTAATTTTTAGGATTACAAAATGTCTGATCTATTAAGTCAAACAGAGTGAGCATCCCCAAGCTGAAAATATGGAATATGAAATAATCCCAAAACCAAAACTTTTTGAGCATCACCATAATGTTCAAAGAAATGATAAATGGAGCATTTAATGCAAATATTCCAAAATCAGAAAATACTCAAAATCTGAAATACTGTTGTTCCAAGCATTTTCCAAAAAGGTATACTCAGCCTGTATCAGCGTTAATGTAGTAGTTGTATTTATTTTTATTGAATTGTCAGAGTAGCTTTCTTTACTATTTTGACATTCAGAAATTACAGAATGAAACATTAAGTAGAAAATAAAGATTGAAAATTAATGTTTACAGTTTTAAGATGAAGACATCATTATTTCAAAATTATAAATTATATATATATGTGTAATAACCAAACATACAACAATTACCTTTCCAAAGTATCATTTCCGAGGTTTTTGTTCTTGCATTTTTTTATTTAGGATTCTTTTTTTCTTTTGGAAAATTTTTGCTCAGCAAAACTGATGAGGATATATTCAAATTAAATATTTTGTAAGCACAAACTGAGTATTTGTTTTAAAAACCAAGATATATCATGTTTGAATTTAGTGACATAATTAGAAACACAGGTAAAACATTTTTATCTCCTTAATATGGGAGTGTATTTTTGGACACAGTTAATATCCATGATTTTTGTCATCTTTTCGAGACTATAACTATAAAGTTCACTTTCTAAAGCCAGTGCTCCCTCCTGCCAATCTTCAACCAAGGGCTTGTGGCAACAAAGAGCTTCCTGCTTCAATTATCTTTCAACTCTCGCAGGTTGGATCAGTTTTCTTCTCTGTCTCACATGTTTTAAAACCAGTAAAGTTTTTCCTTTTTAAATTAATTATAGTTAAATTTTCTTTTTTAATTAAATTTTTCCCTCAGATAACTAGATCCTGTTTTTATTATATATCAACGATATCTTTTTCATCCAAACTATTGTCCTTTGACCTGTATTTCCTCAAACTACTGAATTTTTTATTCATTTGTTTACTCTCTCATTTTCTAACTACAGATTTTTTAAATGTGCACTGTGAATTCCCCTTTTTATATTAGTTGAGTTTTATCACTTTTCCTTTTTTTTTTCTGTTTTTGAGACAGAATCTAGCTCTCTTGCCCAGGCTGGAGTGCAATGGCACAGTCTTGGCTCTGCAACCTCCAAATCTGGGCTCAAGCAATTCTCCTGTCTCAGCCTCCTAAGTAGCTGGGACTACAGGCATGTGCCACCACACCCAGCTAATTTTTGTATTTTTAGTAGAGACGGGGTTTCACCATATTGGCCAGGCTAGTCTCTCCCTGAGTTTAGGTGATCTGCCAACCTCAGACTCCCAAAGTGCTGGGATTACCAGCATGAATTTCCATGCCTGGCCTCCATTTTCCTTTTATGTTTTCTTTATGGCTTAATAATTATATCTAAGTTTCTTTAGGCTAAGGTTTAAGCTAAAGTTAAAGATTAGCTGTAGTTTGAATTAGTCAAATCTATAAAAGGCATTCTAGATGCTACATAAACATTCGCATTTTCAAATCAAAAGTAGGAGAGAGGAACATAACAGTATATTCTAAACCCATTCAATAAAGAGGAGGATGTATTTATAAAACTAGCATATCCCAAAATACAAAAAGTAATTAAGAAGTTAACAAACAGAAATGTAGCATTTGGACCTGGGTGAACCAAAGAAACCCAAACCCTAGCTGACCAACATCTCTTAACAAGGCTCTTGGAACTAATCCCTGCACAGCAGTATGTTATCCAGCAGAGAGTTAATATTTATTTTGTAAAGTACCAGTGTTCAGTATCAAAATACCACAGAACAATCATATTCCAAATCCTGTATTTATCTTTGTTTTGCTCAGGCCTCAAACAGATTCCATTTAGTGGAGAAAGGGAATTCTATGAGTTGCCTGGTTATGCTGGGAAGATTCTGTGGACAAAGATTAGCTCTGTCTTTATTCATTGCAATGAAAAGAGCAGAGTACTTAACTACTGAGTAAGTCACATCTGCCACTTGTCTGGATTGAAGGTTTAAACAGATGCCTCACATGGCAGGCTTATTGAGGTTTAGAGCTGCAATCTTGAATGACTACTAGCATAGTGTCATCTTAACCTTGACACATGTGAAAAGATATTTCAGAACTGAAGCACTAAATTTGCCTGGTGAACAGTATACAGATAGTGTACTTGTATCACAATTGTATCGCAATTGTCAGTCCTAATCCACTGTACCACTTAGATTCACATCGTAGAAGCTTGTCACCATGGACAGTCTCATACTTTTGTCTAGGTTAAGATCAGTGGGATGGGCACGGTGGATCACACCTGTAATCCCATTACTTTGGGAGGCAGAGGCAAGTGGATCACCTGAGGTCAGCAGTTTGAGACCAGCCTGGCCAACATGGCTAAACCCTGTCTCTACTAAAAATACAAAAAATTAGCTGGGCATAGTGCTGCATGCCTGCAATCCCAGCTACTTGGGAGGCTGAGGCAGGAGAATCACTTGAACCTGGAAAGTGGAGGTTGCAATGAGCCAAGATCACACCGTTGCACTGCAGCCTGGATGACAGAGCAAGAATCTGTCTCAAAAAAAAAAAGAAAAAAAGAAAAGAAATGTTAACCATTCCTTTCCCTGCTAAGTCAGTGACTAGTAGTTTATCCTATTTCATAAGACTTAAACATAGCCTAACATTAAACTAGAATCAGCACTCTTAGAAAAATGACTTTATCTCAGCAGGCACTGACTTAACACATTCTTCTCTGAACTCACCCATCTTCCCCATCTGCTCTTGGGCCATATGCCCTTATAAGCATATTATATGATCTCTGACAAAAAGTACCCCCTGTTGAATCTTTAGTTACTACTGTTACTAACCTTGCAGATGTTTACATTGGGTATTTCATGATATTCCAACTGATTTCAGGTTCAAGAAATCCCTTCTCCTTCTTGCTTTTTCATTTTCTTGGCCCCAAAATATGAGCTTTGTATTGTTCCTGAGCCCTTCCTGTCTTCTTGCATATTTTGTGAGGGATTGTCCCCCCCCCCCATTTTCTTTGTTTTTAGTAGCAGTTCTTGTTTTTAGCTAAA